AACTGAAACAGTTGCTCTGGCGCTCACACTTTTAAAGCTAGAGAGTTAAGAGTTGACACCAAGATTCCAATAGTGCAAAATCTTCTTTAGTCACTCTCAGTCACATGACCACAAATCGAAAAAGTTTATGGCATGAACATTTTTTAGTGTAAATTTGATTTTAATTACTTTGTCAATTTCTATCGGCGTGCTAAGAAAACTTAGTTAATAAGTTAAGTTGGTAAGCTGAATTATGGGTTAGCGATAATCAACGCACTTGACTGTAGCGTTTTATTTATATTGGCTTGATAAGTGTATGTATTTGACTTCTTTTTGCTTCTATTTTAGGTTTAAGTAAAAACAGTAAAATTAATATACCTAATAATTTTTAGGATTAATAACAACACCCTTTTTAATAAATTTAGTGCCTACAAACATTTGTAATGCTCATGCAGCATGATAAAACTTGCAATTTTTTGCTTAAACATAAAACCATGGACTTTAAATTGTGAAAAGTTGAGAAAACTTAATGTCTATACAGTTCCAAATTAACATAGAAATAAAGTCGCTTTTGTGGAATAAAACGAAAAGTATACGAATGTTTAGACGTAATTTAAAACAAGAAAGTTAAAGTAGTTGTTATACTATTGTAACTAGACGAAATAAGCTAAGGCAGCGGAATAGCTAATGCCAATAAATTTTGTTTAGCTTATTTTAAGAAGCGGTTGAAGAAACGTTTTTTGAGCTGCTTAATAGAACAAGTGCAACCTTGCAACTGCGCTTTAATGCATACACACAGACCAAACACAAAGAAGAAAAGATTTTGTGTTTACGAAGAGCTCGAAAACCGTGTTTTTCTATTAAGTATTGGATTTGAGTAATGACACTTTTTAGCTTGGTTCGTACTCTTGCACGCTGGATTCTGATCAGCACCACTGGACGCGATGACGGGTCCGTCCCTTCCGTTCATCCTTGGGCTTATTTTAGTTGGAGGTAGTATATAAGTCGGGACAGACCACTATGTCCTATAGATTCCATAAGGATGATCGGAAAACTAATAAAATAAAACTGATAGCTTCGTTGCTTTTGAGCATATTATTTAGATTTAGCCAATATGATTTAAATTTTATAATATGTCACTTAAGAAAATTACCACGAAGTTCGTTTTTAGAAAATCGCCTATGATTTCGCTTTAAGGCAATTTTTCTAAAATGAAAGTATGCTCTTTCTAATGTTTCTAATACACAGAAAAAACGTTTTGCAATTAAAATTTTTTTTACATTTAGAAAATACATTTCTAAGAAACAGCAAGAGTTCTTAAAAAGTTTCATAAGAAGATAATATTTATTCTGGTTGATTATGGATTATGCCACTGCCGGTGTTGTAAATTGTTCTTGTTGAATTCACATTTGTCAACCTATTATGCTCTCCTTTACTTAATCACGTTGATTATGATTTTAACACACTTTTAGTTTCAAATAGGATCTAATATAATAACTGATTTTAATCTACAAGCGCCGCACAAAGTCTATCCACATTTTATTGCCTTGGGTTCTAAGTTTGTATGTTTTTTAAAATGTTCTGGCTCTTTTCTAGTTATTCCCCCTATTTATCCATTGATTTTTGATTGTGAATTGATAAATATTAATATTATATTTACAACATATTTTTTATTACAGTTAAATAGTATAAGAACAGTGACAAAGTTAAAATAAGATTAACTAAATGAAAATTTGTATCAAGTATCAACGAGTTACGAAAAAGGAAGAACGCTATAGTCGAGTACCTCGACTATCAGATACCCGTTACTCAGCTAAAGGTTCCAAAGGGAAATGGAGACATGCAAGCAGAAAATCGAGATTGAAATGCGCCACCTACCTAGCATAAAAATTGAGGGTGTTAGAGTGGGCGTGGCAAAATTGCGTTACAAACTTGCGGTGCGTACAAGGCTACGGAATCTAAATCTGAAATCCCAATTCTATATCTTTGATAGTTTCCGATATGTCCGCGTTTATATTTACGATTTTTTTGAAGTTTGTGGGCGTTGCAAACTTTTTTTTGCGTCAATCAATAGGTATGGAAGAACAATACAATTCACTTACAATTTTTATTCCAGCATTAAAACTGTAGGAGCCACAGTTTTGGGTGGTTTGTTGGCGTGGCACCCTGATGAAACAAACTTGCGCTGCGCAAGAAGCACAGAAGTCTGCATGCCAAATCCCAATAGCCTAGCTCATATAGTTTCCCAGATCTCAGCATTAATACGGACGTTCGGACAGACGGACATAGATCGACTCGATTAGTGATTCTGATCAAGAATATATACTTTATGGGGTCGGAAACGCTTCCTTCTGCCTGTTACATACTTTCCGACGAATCTATTACACCCTTTTACTCTACGAGTAACGGGTATAAAAAAAGATTCAACGAATTGTCCGCCTCGAAGTGGGATTGACCCCCACTTCCGGCTACAAGCCTTCATAACATATGTAAAATGAGCAGGCGTTAGACTCCTACGTTACCATTTAGGTCGATTTTTTCTAAGTTCCAAAGAATAATTTCAGAAAAATATAACATTTTCTGCAAATTCGAGCTGATGTTAAAGGGTTAATTTTTTGTTGTTTTTTAATATAAAATAATTCTAAAAATATACCATTTTGTGAATTTTCTAAAAATGAGTCGACTTTTGCTTGTGAGTGTAGAAAACCATTTCTAGAATGCAAAACTTTTTTATGTTTTTTAGAAAAACAATATTGCTACAATACATACATTTTTCTATTCTTAAAGGATTTTTTTTAGTTTTAGAAAATATAGTCTTTTTTTCTTAAAATCAAAGGCGATATTCACCCTTAAATAAAGATTTCAAAATAGATTAAAAAATGTTATATTTTAGCAAAAAATTGTCTAAGAAATGCCGTTCTATGGTGAATTTTCGTGCAGTTCAGTAAATCTTTTCCCTATATAAAATTTTATGTAAACAAATATTAATATAAATATTTATTTATTTAGTTAAAACAAGAAAGGAAGTTCACTTCGGCACGCCAAAGTTTCTATACCCTTGCAGGTCGTTACCGTAGGAGCATTGTATGTACAGAGCTTTCCGATTCAAGAAAACTAACAAATAATTATAGAAATTTTAAGATAATGTACTACATACATATATTTACGGCCGTACATATGTGTTTACCGAAAACGATCCGATCGTTCCATATATGGTTATATATCTATATAACCAAGTCGTCCGTTTTTTTTTAATGTTATTAAAAATTTTGAAATATTAACTTTGAAGCAATACAACAGTTATTTTTTTATCAAAAAAAATTTTTTTATTGTTCCAATGGGAGCTATAGGATATAGTTGTCCGATCCGGTTTGTTCCGACTTATATACTACGTGCAACAGACTTTTGGGAAGGTTTCATCCCGTAAGCTTTAAAACTGAGAGTCTAGTTTAAGTAGAAACGGATAGACGGACATGGCTTGATCGACTCGCCTCGTGATGCTGACCAAAAATATATATGGACCGTTACTTACAAACCGAATGGATTTCGCAAAAAAAGTTCACATTTTGGATTACATTTTTTACGTATACTATCAAATAGCTTTCATAGGAGCTATAGGAAAATTTCAATAATAATTTCTCGCATATATGTATATGTTTTGCATAATGTCGTTTTAGCTGCAAGGGTACATAAGCTTCCACTTGCCGCAATCGGAATTGAAAAAGACGGGCATAGTTATATCGACTTGTAAAGTGATGCTGATTGAGATCGGTCTGTAAGGAAGAGATAACTTTCTTCAACATTTTTAAATACAATTTGTATTCCATATTTAATGATTTTTGGTGTTCACAATTTTACTGGAAAAGTTCAGCCAGATTTTGTATATAACAGTCAATTTTGTGTGCTTTGGGGTAGGTTGTTATTAATTTATAAAACTGAACCAAAATATACAATTTTTTACAAAACAAATTTGTTTAATGCTTTCCAAAGGTACAAACTCGTTCCATTTTCGTTGTAAAGCAAAGAGATCAAGCTTTCACTACTAACTAAATAGAAAGTGTCCCAACCTACAGACCTCTCCCTTACCCTCTTTAAGAGTATGAATACTAAACAGCTAAACAAAATGTACAGCATTAAGTAACATTTACTTTTCAACGTTTGCTAGAAACATACTTCTCACGTATGAAAGGTTCAAAATTTGTTTATGTAAGAAATTTATAAATTAAGTTGCCCGCATCCCAAAAACAGTCGCAAAACATATAGGTATGGTAGGTATGCGATACAAAACGTTAAGTTTAGTTTCCTTACTACCAAACTTACACAATAATGTTTTCTAACGGAGTAAGATCGTATCGTACGCGCGGAATTAATGTAGCTGCTAAAATATCCTTTAAAGAATTGGAATAAACAGTATAATCGATCTTGCTATTGCCCACAAAACGTAAGATTGCTTTACAATGCGACAATCACTTCCCATTTAAAAAAGAAAAACAAAATTAAATCTTTTTAGAGATGTTATGTAATTCTCTAGGTAAGGCGAGTTATACTTTGGACATTCTTAAACTGTGTCCTTTCCAGATTTTTAATATTGCTGAGTTAGATCATTAAATATCCTCCTTTTCCTGATTACTAATACATGTAGTAAAAGTGCTAGTGTTGCCACTTTAACAAGAAATTGTTGTGTGTATCTGAAAATGCATTGCTCTAAAATTACAAAAAATATAACTATTTACAGTAGCTAACGAAAAGACAAATATAAACTATAAACAAGGAATTTTATTTTCTTCATATATACAATACGCATATATTCGTTTTTGCACGGTCTACTCCTATAATGGGTGTCAATTGATGCATATTGGGTTAAGGGGAACAAAAGTAAAGTCTCGTTGATGTCAGGGTGCGAGTGTAAGCGAGGATTAATTTAGAAAAATAAAACTAGAATATAATCATAAAAGATGATTTTGTGTTTTTTGTATAACAAAACACTAGCGCCAATACATAAAATAATATACAATTCTTACCGGTACTGAAATCTGGTCGTTAGTTGAGTTTGCGATTGCAATTAATGATGTTTATGACACAGGTCATACGTACAAAGATTGTGGTTTAATTTGTATTTTTTTATTTATATATTTTATTAATATGATTTTATAGTAATTAAATTAGGTTATTATCGTCATTTTTTTTGTTATAGGTTGATTCAATCGGGAATGGATTAGCAATTAGCATATTGAAAGGACGAAAAATATTAAATAATGTTAGAATGTTTGGCATTATATCTTGCAGGATGTTCAAATAAATATTTTGTGGATTATGTACCGTAGCATAGATATATTTACAATTATAAACTCTTACACTCTGCATTAAAAATAGTTAAGTACTGATAATAGCTCTCTACTCCCTAGTGTAATTGGTTAAAGTATTGGTAGGTACAATTTTCAGACCCCGCAAAAAAATGTTTAAGTAATAAAAATAATAAAAGCAACCACAAACTCCCTTACGATTTTATTTTGATGTAGCATTAAAGCCACTTCGCTTGAAAAACTGCAGTTAAAAATTGTTATTACTATCTTTGAAGAGCCCTGAATTCTTAAGAATTTACTGGATAAACAACTGCGCGGCTAGGCACGGTTCTCTTGTAATCAAATCTTAAAGTTTCGAGTTTTGATTGAGTTTTGACAGTTAAAACTAGAGAGAATGCTGTAGTCGATGCTATCGACTATCAAATACCCGCTACTCAGCTAAGGGAAGTGCGAGGGAGATAGAATCGCTAACACGAAAAGCAAAGGCTGACCGCGCCGGTATTTCTTCATGTAAATTCATAAGAATTCGCAATCCATTCGATTCCTTTTTGCGGAATTCGGAGATAAGGTGCATAAAATTAAGGTCCTAAAATGATAATTAGGGTGTCGTCTCCGTTCAAAATGCGGGGGAAATGTACGTTAGCACCAATACAAGTTTCCCCCAAATTTCGTCCGACAAAGATTTCTCTGACACTCCGAATAAACCTTACCTACCAATTTATTTCATCAGCTAGTTTAGGATTCTTTTCTTATTAAACCCTTTAAATATCCCCCAGTTTTTGACAGATATATCTGGCTTGTATTCCTATTTTTAAATAAAAAAAAGTAACGCCATAGTAGAGATTAGAGTTAAATCCTCGGATAATTTCCGGAGCGCCGCAAAACACCAATGAATTTAATTTTGCATTTTCATATCTTTTTTTGTAATATTTGCTGGTTATGCCGGTTTTCTTGTTTTGTGGTAAAGTATAAGTAAACTAAAGAATTTCTTAAACTTGATTAGACTAAAACTCTTTTTAGCTTCCAGGATTAATTGCAAAATGTTGCTTCATTTTAAATTTATTTAATATTTTTTAAATTAGAAAGTTATTTGGAAATTTTTAACTTATTGACTAAGCTTTGTAACTTTTCTTAAAAAACAAGACGGAGCGTTTTCGCCTAATGCCTCAACTATAAGATACTCGCTATTGTCTCACATAAAATAAAGTAAATATACCTTCGGTAAGGGGCGAAAAAACATTGGTGCTTACATTTGTATCTATTTTACGTGTGTACATTTTACACTTCACATTGTGGTCTACTAGCTGTGACGTCACTGACCAGGTGCTGCTAAATACGGCACTGGCAAATAAAAACAAAAAACAAGAAGAAACGCTATAGTCGAGGCACTAAATACCCGTTACTCTTTTCAATTAAAACACAATTTCCGGGCATTTCTATTGGCGCGGCCACCTAGCGGAGGGAAGAGGTATCAATGATCAGGCCGGATAGCCATAAATTTAAATCAAAAATTGTTTTTTTTTGCTTTAAAAATTCTTTTAAACCTCTTGAATAAGAACAAATTCGTTTTGTAAAAGATTTTCCTACATAAAGAAAAAACTTCACGTGCCTATTTCGTTAGACGAATAGAAACGTGGAATAGTTTAGTTCATTTTTTCGATATTAATCAACTTGTCAAAGTGGTAAAAAGTTTTGGATTGACTTGTATTCTTCACGTAATGAAGATTTTTCAGATGGATATTAGCTCATACGCATAACATTTTTGCGTTTAATCTTATGCTGCAAAAAAGGCGCCCTCGGGCTTAGGATCAAAAAGGATCACCGTGGAGAGCAAATATTCTAAATCGGATGGCCAGCTTGCTAATAGTAAGAAATTCCCATTTCATGCACTTCTTTTTTATTAACCCGAAAACACATTTTTAAACTCATTCACTAGATGTACTCATGTAAATTAACCACAATTTGTTTTTATTTGCATCACCTTTGCTGCGTGTCTAGAAGGACCCTTCAAATAATAATGCGACTGGTACGATTCTCAGTATTTAAATATTGATTATATTTGGTTTAGGTATTGATCAACAAAATTAAATTAAATTTTAAAAAAGGTATGATTGAAACTGAAACATTTACGCAAAAGTGGCTACTTAAATATATCTGTTTATCGTTTTCGCAAAAATTGTATCATCTTATTTTTTTTTAATAAAAATTCAGAATACGGGGGCTGCTACTTAAGTTTGTGGCCTAGGTCACTTCTAGCCATATTAGCACCAATTGGACTTTTCCAAAAAAAAGTTTTGACTTTTATCAATCAAAGCTCCCTACAACTTTTTTATGTGTGACCACGTTTGATATCGATTAACGATTAATCAAAAACTTACCTCGGAAGAAAAATGGATATAACTCGAAAACACTTTAGTGCAATCATTTTTCACAACTCTTGACGTGGATTATCATGACAAGAGTGCATCGATGAACTGAAATCTGTATATGGCGATGAAGCACATCCTAAAGCACTGTGAAAACTGGTTTAATGAATTCAATCGGGGTCGACGCTCTCTCAAAGACGAAGTTCGTGAAGGTTGTCCAAAAACAGCCGTTGTGCCAGAGAACATTGCCGTGCGAAAACTGATAATACAAGATTGTCATGAGACATATCCAGCATCAGCATATATTCGATATTGCATGATCACCTGGTCGTAACCTGGTTTGCTTTCGTTGTATCCCGCACAATCGCTCAAAAAAAGGCTCGTGTGGGTTGCAAAGAAGTTTTGAAGAAACACAATAGCGGTGCTTCAAAAGAGGTTTATAAGATCGTCACAGGTGGCGAGTCATAGATCTTTGAGCCTGAAAGAAAACAGCAATCGACCGTTTGGGTCTTCGAAAGTTGTTCGTGGAAGAAGCACTTTGAAGCAAATAGTCGCCTGAATCTTTGGTAAAGCTGGTCACGTGGCGACTGTTTCGCTTGAGCTAACAGGACGGTCAAATCTGAGTGGTACACTACAATTTGTTTGCCTGAAGTTTTCGGAGAAATTGATGGGCAATCCACCGTAGACTTGGCACCCGATGACTTTTTATTCCAGCACATCAAGATAAAAATGCGTGGTAAACGATTTTCGTCGCCAGAAAAGGCCGTTGAAGCGTTTAAAACCCAGTCAAAAATATATATAGCAGCCCTCGAAAAAAACGTGAAAATGGGCAAAAAAAAGGGTTGATCCTGTAAGTACAAATGATGAAATACGTTTTTGATGGTGTTCTATATTCATAATTTTTACAAATAATTCTGTCCCAAAATGTTCTTTCCGGGGTAGTTCGTAGATAAAACAACAATAATTTTAAAAGACAATAAGGGGGTATAATTTTTCAAAAGATTAAAAAACAAAAAGTTTTTTTCTAACAAGACCGGGGGGTTTAAAATTTTTTTTTTTAAATGTTTTTTTAACAAAAAGTTTTTATTTTTGAACATTGATAAATAAAAGGGTATAAAAACAAGTTAAATTTATTTAAAAAAATATTTTATAAATATAGAACTGGTTAAATAAATACTCTTTTGTTCTTAAATAAATATATTTCCATTTTATCATTCAGAAAATATCAGAGGGCTTATTACATTAAATTCGATATCTTAAAAACAAAACTTCAACTTATATAAAAAAAACCAGTGTAGGTGACATACAAAAACATGATCTAAAACTAAAAAAAAAATTTTTTAAAATTGAATATCTTTTATTTCTAAAAAATTTTGAAAAAAAAGTTGTTAAAAAGTATAGGTTTTAAGAGGATTTCATACAAAAAAAATGAAGTCAATCTGATAACTACAGCAGGCGATATAGATTTTCAAACAGAGTGTACTTTTGGAAATTTAGCGTTTTTTACTAACTCAAAAAAGTCAAACTAAAAAATCCTTTTTTTTCGGCCAAATCCTGATACACGTGCTTACTTATTTACCGAATAGTGTACGTAAAAAAAGTTTCAGGCAAATCAAAAATGTCAACCCAAAAAAGGTGTTCGGTTCGTAAGAGAACGGCCCAAAGGTAACTAGTACTGGAAAACATTTGTGTTTTACTTAATCGGTTGTTTTATTTTTTTATTGCAGTCAGGCTATGCATGTACAATGGGTTAAGGTACGGGTGCATAATTTCCTGGGAGCATTTTAATATTAATGTATGGACTACAGACCATTGTTCTACCGTAAATAAGAATTATACCCCTGCAGGAAATGCGAAACTGGTCGCTGGGGCCAGTAAAATACTTCCTGGGTCAGGAAATTAAACCATCTAAATTATGTTTATTTCCTTGCCATCGGAAACAACCAAAAGCTGGAACAGCACAAAACAAGGATTAAAAAACGGAAAAGAAGGGGAAAAGGTTAAGAAATAAACTAATTTTTATAACCTTTTTATGTTGTTTGTTTTTCATTAATAAAGTTTTATTTTTTTATAAATTAATTATGTGTTTTAATATTTTATATATATATGTTTTAATTATTACAAACATATATTATATAATCGACAATTAGAGTAATTCATTGTTCATATTTTATACATCATCGCTCGGATAATAAAGTCTCGATGTACCATTCTAGCTAGGCAGCTGGTTGGTAGTTGGTAATTTTCTCATTTTTTAAAAAATGGTTTGCAGAAAAAACTCTGTTTATTGATTTTCAAGTCGGTAAGCTGAGTAACGGGTATCTGATGGTTGAGGCAATTGACTATAGTGATCTCTCATTTAATTGTAGTTTAAATCAGACAATATTTTTATTTAAGTTAAAAAATTTTATAAAGAACAACTTCGGCCCTTTTAAGAGCCAAATTTTTGGAATATATGTTGCTTGCATTTTGTCAATGCGTTTGTTTAAATTGTATGTCCCAGCTTTCTTTGCAGCAACGGGAGCATAAGGAAATCCTTATACTTTTCAATTGCTCTTTGGAACAACCCAATTTTTAAAAGTCGAACCGCAGTCACCATTCTCCATAAGGGGAAATTATGTGAATGCAATGTCATCCTTGATCATCTCAACCATCCTTAAAATGATCCACGCCATAACTAACCCAAAAGCTATTATTCGAAATGAGACAAATAAGCAGTGGTTTAAGAAAAAACTACAGCATAACATACACCCAAATAAAATCGTTGAGTTTCAACTTCATAAGAGAGGGTGTAATAACACTTCGCCGGATCACATTTTTGGGATCAATCTGATCCTAAATAAGTGTCAAAAGTATACTACATTTTATGAAAAACCTCATATGCACCTAATTCATGTCCTTTTGACCACAACCGTGATTACTTAAATACCGAAAATGGCTTTTTCAATTGTTCGAGTTTCGAACCATGCCCATCGCACATGTTTGAACTTAACACCCTCTCTGATGCGAAAGGTCCCTGGATCAAGTACGCGCCGTGACACTCACTTGGGTCACATTGACACTCAAATAGGGCCATATTTTTTTCGGTGTACGTACTTTTATTTTTTTTTTGAACAGGTCCGATGCGCTTGTGTGAACTCTGCGGCTAAGACTCGCTAATGACATTTTTGACAAAGTTTTTAAGAACTTTTTTGAAAACTTTTCTGACTATTTTCCTTGTCGCTTGCATACAGCGCTGCCAGATAGTTTCAAAGTTACCGAATAAAAGGTTTTATAGGGCGCGCAACTATTTTATTAAGATTTTATCCAAATTTCAAAAAGGTTTATGGAAATGCTAAAAAGAAAAACTTTTGGTGTTATGTGGCACCCAACAAATTTTAAGTTGATTGGGTTTCCGCTGATTCGCAAACGACTCCGAATTTCTGTGGCACCCCGGAATAAGAATGATTTATTCTCTTCGATAATCTTCGCTTTAATATATGTGATATGTCATATATGTCTGATCTACGCAGAGGCTGAGGCTGAGCAGAGCTTTTTCGTATGCCCACTTAATGTGACGCTGCCCACCGCTGACATAAAGCCCATGAGGAACGCAAACATGTTCCTCAGTCTTAAAGCTACTGCGATAATACGTTGCCAAAAAACTGGAAGCTCGCGAACGATTGCGAGATGCACACTCGCCAGAAAATATTCTGAGGAGCGATGACGACATGAAGTGAACTACGAGATATATAAACTGCGGCTTGCCGAAGTTAACTCAAATCATAAAAAATAGCTCTTAAATCAGATAAAACCACAAAAGGAGTTCTGTCGCACAGTCCAACAGTCGGATGAACAAACATGGGGACTTGTCAAAAGTAGTATACAAAGTATCAAAAGTATTCCATACACTCACAAACTTAGGAGTAAAAAAATGTAACTAAATAAAAATATTAATTTTTTTAACCTCCGTCTCAGAATTATTTGACCTCTTATTTGATTTAATGGAAATCAGTTTCCTTTGACATATTTTTGGTTTTTATATTGTTATATTATTATCTTTAGTTACGAAATTTCTTAGTTAGCCAACATCAGAACCTTTCAGTATTTAATTGTTTAACTGCTTTAGTGGTAAGGATTCAAAACATTGAAGTTGATGGTAAGAGTGGTTAAATTTAAAGTAATGGATACAGGGCTAAATGGGTTATAAAAGTTTCGGTATTCCGAATACAGAAAAACAATTTTCTTTTAAATTACTGAGTGGCCCAATTTTTCCTTTTTTTGGAAAAATAACATGCATCTTTTAAACGAGCCAATTCAATTGTATAACATCTTATTTAGTATTAATATAAATTAAGAAGAAAAAAGTATATCAGAAAAATACCACAATGGTATTTTATATAGCCTAATCATAAATCAAAGGTAAATATTTGCTTAAACAGTTACAATTTGAGACATGGAAATTATCTAAAAATAATTATGCACTTGTACACAAATTACATTATTAAGAGCAGGGATAAGCTATGCAAATAGGGTACAAAAGTGCTATGTCAGGTAATTGAAAATGTGTATTAAGTCGCTTGTAGTCAGATTGATTGTTGTTTTAGGCAATTTAATTTATAAAATCGGTCAAAAAGATAATACTACAACATAAATAAACTGCTACATAATTTGATTAAGGGAAGGTGTTATCTCAGTTATTTATATAATAATTTGTATAAGAACTTAGACCTATTCCCGAAATGTTCCCTGTTCAAATAACATTTGAACTGCAAAATGTCAATAAAAAGATTATGTACAAGAAACAGACAAAAAATAGGTAGTCAAAAGAGATAGAAAGACAGATAGAGCAAGAAAAGTTGAATGATTTAACAGACAGAGGTAAAGCAGTATAAGCTGTGGTTTCACACCCAACTGGTCTAGTTCTATTAAAAACTCAATCTACAATAGGTTTAGAAAAATTTCAGTAGGAAAATGTAAAATGTCTTACTACGTATGCCTACCTAACAGCAACTGCTTACCTTGCAGTAAATTTACATACATTTAGTTCACTTTTATTTATTTAACATCGTAAAGAAGTGACCTTCGGCTAGCCGAATACTGCGTTCACCTTTTCAAAAAAAATTTACTTTATCAGCAAACTTTTTTACAAAAATCAACTTCCATGCCTGTTATATGTATATATAATAAAGTATACACAGATATATATATTTATTAACTTTAAGTATATGTACATATAAAAATATATATATAATATATATTTATATATGTATATATTTTATAAATATATATATTTTTAATAAAAATATTTTTACATATATGAACACTCTAACTTGACTAATTTACGTGACGGTAGGTAATGTGTCCAGTGAAGGGTGTACCTACTGACGGGAAACACAAACAATATAAAGACTAGTTAGAGAAAAATGAATAATTCCAATTTAATTGAAAAAAATAAAGAACTCAATCAATGTCAAAGAATTAATAGTCTTAACTTCAAAATAAACTCATATTTCTCCTGATGCATGCGAACGATCTTGACTTGTTGGCATTAGCTTTTTTATGTCCGAAATTGTAATGTTTTGTATCGCAAAAACAAATTTTAAAAGTCTGAATGCTTGATTACATTAAATGCTTTCGCCTTTCATTATATATGCCTCCACGGCATATATCTGAAAAAAACCCTAAAACTAAAACAGAATGACTGTACGATTTCTTGTCAGCGTCTAAAAAAAATTAATCAAATTATACCTCTGTGTAAAATATGACATAGATAGCATAAAAAACCCATGTAATGCAATAAATGTGATTAATGTATAGAAATATGAAATTAAGAATATAAATCATAGCAAAATAACAATATAATAATTTAAACAGACATGATAACATAATTTTGATCCTCTTTTTCAAAATTTCCAGTTTTACTATTTAAATGCAAGTAAATGTTACTTTAGGTATGACACTTACTTGAGTTTGCAAGCGCGTTAGTCCACGAATCCAGAGGATTTGTCCAGCCCTTGGCTTCTTATCAGAATCAATTGAATCAAAACGTTCCTCGCCCAAGTTCATGGCATCTGTGTACTCCTCGGGATGGCCGCGACCCCATCTAATGAAAAGGATTAATAAATAGGCTGAATGGGAAACTTAGACCGAATAATAATTTTAGCGTTCTCAGTTTCAAAGACCTCGCTCTTATCCACTGACTTAATAATAGTTTAATTAGTTTAATTAATAGTTTGTTTTTATTTAATTGTACTAGTTTTTTGTGACATACAGGATTTGATGAATATAAAAGTATTAGGCAAGCGAATATTTCCAAATTTAAAATTTACAAAGCTAATTTTACAAGTTGAGCGTTACTTCCAAGTTTCCAGTCCTAACTTTTTTTAAATGAGTAGGGCGGCTCAGAAAACTCCAGTAACTAAATTCGGAATTAAGCATTGATTGACTTTCTTAACCCAACTTAAAAATTCTTAGAAAAATGTGTTTTTTATGGCAGAAAAAAAGACGTTTCGACCCTATTAGCACCAGTAGGCACAACGATATACCCATGTCTAATGTTAAATTATTACGCGTAGTTTTGCGGAGTGTAAAAGCTATTGACACAAAAAATCACCCGGTCGGTGCATTTGAAATAGGAAAAATTGAGTAAAACAGGTGTTATGTATTGATATAGTGATGACGACATTGCAAAAAATATTATACAAAAAAATCGAATTAACGGCGATTTTATATCCTTGCAGAGGGTATAATGATTTCAGTCAGTAGTTTGCAACGCGGTGAAGGAGACAGACGGACATGGCTAGATCGACTCGTCTAGTTATCCTGATCAAGACTATATATACTTTATGGGGTCGGAAAAGCTTCCTTCTGCCTGTTACATACTTTCCGACTAATCTAGTACACCCTTTTACTCTACGAGTAACGGGCATTTTTAATATATTTTTTCAAATCCTTAGTTCAAGCAGTAGCTTTAAGGATACTGGTTTCGTGGTTACGTGGTTTCGAGAAAAACGCTATTGAAGTGCGTGTCGTCTGGCTGAACGACCTGAAGAACAAAACGTTTAAGTCCAAACAATTTCCATTGGTATGCCTTAAATGACATAACGCGCACCGTGTAGGAGGGTAAGAGCGGGGCGCAAGTGTGAAGCGCCCAAATGTACATATGCACGTGTAAAGGATCTGCTGTTGCCTTTGTTGAAGTCTTAACGGAAAACGTATTGCTGACCCAGCTAAAGTAATAAATATTACGAATATCAAAATATCAATGCAACGCAGATTCTTGAGTTCTCTTAAGAAACGGCCATGCATCGATATTAGGCTTTCACACCTTGTGAAAAACAATTGTACAAATTAAACAGGTCGACAAAATCCGGACTATTTTTTGGCTTAAGGGGTTATTACCTTTTTTTTCAAAAAAACGAAAATTTTTTTTTTGCTGAATCCTAAAGTATATCCCCTAGAGAACATTTTCCCAAATTTTCATAGAGATCCGAATAATAGTTCGACGATGACTTGTAAGTTTGTCTGCTCGACTTCAATAGTTGCATATACTCAACGTAAAACTTTGAATGCGATTATCTCAAAGTCGTGTTTTTCCAAAAGTGCCTTTGCTGTGACCGCGATTGCACAAGAACTATTTGATCGATCTTCTTCATTTTTTTTTAAATTATTCGTAATGATTGTCCCGAGTTTGTGAACGATTCAGTTTTTATGCGCCAATTTTGATTTTGCAGATCAGAATTTTTTAATAAAATCGTTACTGTATGCAGCAAAAACCAAATATTCTTGAAAATAATCGCTCACGAACTGGAAATAATACTCTACTAATACAAATTTTTTGGTTTTTTGGTATCAGTTGACCTGCTGGGCTTCCATCGTGGTCACCGCAAGCCGCTATAAAAAAAAGGGTTCCGAGAGAATTGCCATAACTTCGTAAATTATTTATATTTTTTCAAGAACAAACGCTTGTTGTTTCGATAAAAAGATGTACTATCAATAAATAATAACTTCAGTGTCATAAAATAATTGCTACACACCTGAAAAAAATCCAGTTCCCTCAATTTTTTCGCTTAAAAAAGGTATATAACCCCTTAAGACTAAGCACTACAAAATCTGAAAGGATTTTACCTGTAGATTACTACCCCAAACTTTAAAACTTTCCATCACGTGTCATTGTTTTACATTCATTAAAATAGGAGCTAAATTAAATCGCGATTTTTATTAAATCGTTGATGTCGAAGTGAACTGAAGAAAAATTTTAACAGTTTTGATTAAAATTATCAGGCCGAAAATAAAAAAAAAAACTCTGCAAACATATGTATGTACAGTGTACACAGCCTGTAGAATAAATTCCTTGATGTAAAATAGTTATTAACAGCCGAGGAAATATCACTAGTTTACAGCCAAACTGCTCCCAATTGATTGATGGCATATTCTGTTAGTTTTGGACCTTGGAATACGAAAATCTCATGAACATTTTTTCAATTGAGCATGTTATTTGTTTACCCTTGCAGACGGTATAATGATTTCAGTCAGTAGTTTGCAACTCAGTAACGGAGACGTTTCCGGCCAAATAAAGTATGTATATATATTCTTGATCGGCAGCACTAGACGAGTCGATCTAGACTTTTCCGTCTGTCTGTTTGCCCCTTTCTACGCAAACTAGTCCCCCAGTTTTAAATTTATCGGAATGAAACCTCTCCAAAAGTAATATTTCTATTGCACGTAGTTATATGTGCTAATATTTGGGAACGAGCCGGATCGGAAAACTAATTAACAATAATAATTTAGTCTTTTTTGACATATTATTTTCTACTGTTGGAAACATAATTCTCTTAATATTTCAGAATTTTGAATAAAATTAAAGAAAAATCTGTCGACTATATCGTATAGCCGCGGTAGGAACGATAGAATAATTAATGGGAAAATATTTGGAAAACAATTGTAGCTTCGTTATTTTTAATCATATTCTCTTCTACTCCGGTATATAACATTTTTGCAGAGAATATATAATTTTCTGTTTGCCGGAGCTAGCTTCGTTTCTTTTTTTAAAATTTAATTTACTTAAACGTTTAAAGTTGCTAAGCAGTTCAATATGATTGGACAAGTAACATAAGCCCAGGAAATTCACAAAAATCAAAAATGTGAATTTTCTACGACTTCAAATTGTCTGTAGATAACGTAAAAAAAGAACAAATAGAATTATTGTGCTTTTTTGAAGTTGTGTTTTATCATCTTTTTGGTCGATAGATTTAAAATATAAAACATTTACCCCAGGAGGCGAAATTTTGGTATAACTGTAAGATAAGTTAATTCGATTTCCGTCATGGCGCCGCAGCCCAAACCATATGACCTAAAATTTTGGAAAAAATGTGTCTTGAATCGTGTCTTAGCCTCCATAGGACTCCCAGAACAACTTAAAGGTCGCCAAAACTTGTTCGAAATATCAATTTGATTACTCCCTCAAGTTTTAACCACACCGACAAGGCAGTTGTGGCAAGCGGAAGTTTTTTATGACTAAAATAAGATAAATATACAATATTTAACGACGAAAAGTAGGAAACTGCAAAAACATGAAATTTGTACTTATTGGGCCCTATGGTTCCCATGGTAGCTATAGGATATAGTCTTCCGCTCGACCATATTTTTTGTCCTGATATAATAATGATAGATTTTCATATTCATAAGATTTGCAATGTTTATGATGCTGCTTTTAAGGTTCTCCAATTTGTATAAAATGGGAAAATCTGCTGAGATTATAAAAAAATATACTTTATTGCAGTCCGATCGGAAAGCGCTTTTAATCTAATCTCATAAAAAATACGATTTGCAAAGCTTCGTGTCGATAGCTCATTCTCTGTCTGAAATAGTTAAAACACAGCTTAATCTTGCTAATTTCGATCGGCATTGTATACATACAACATACGATTTTCTAAGTTTCATATCAATAGCTTTTTGCAATTTTAGGACAATTTTAGGCAATTCAGACGTTTAACCAGGCGGCTTTCATATTTGATCTGCATGCACATATTTTATGACGATTGCGCATGTTTCAAAACGCTAGCGAATAATGTGAGCTCGCAAGCTGTATAGAAAGACAGACTGACAAACGGCCTAGTGATGCAAAACAAGAATATTAAAATGTTTAGGGTCGAAAACGTCTCCTTTACTGTGTTTCAAACTTCTCACCCTCTGCATGGGATTTGCCACCTTGTACCTAGGCAACCAAAGTAGGATTCCCATTTCGTTTGTACTTCTGTCGATTTAAAGGGCCTTCTAATCAAGACAAAACAAAACAACAGCGAATACTTCTTAAATGAGTCTTTTTGTGACAGCCCTGACATACTGAAATATTTGCAATTATATAATTATATGCTACTTAAACATACTTACATTCGTTTAATAACTTAAAAATAACTAAATAAATCTTACCTTCTAAAATTTGGAATATTTTTTATTTTATCAAAGTATAAAAAAAACCATCTCTCATTCATATATCCGTCTTAGTTATATTTACGAAAAGTCTGTTGAACAGGTTATTTATTTTGACTGAAAAACATATTCATAAAACTAGATATTTAAAACACTAAACTATAATACATGCATTTTGATAATTATTATAAAGTATAGAGTTTATAGCCACCAGCACTAATCAAATAATACAAGCAGAAATACATATTAATATTTTACTTAACTAGAGCCTAGAGTCTTAGGACTAACAAGCACTGTGTTAATACCACCGTGCAAAAGATGTTAGACTTAAAAAACGCAAGCAAATTAGAGCATCAACATCCTTTTATGTATAAGCGGGTATTTGTAAGCGTAATAACGTTAAACATTTACTCACGATAAAATCTTAGGTAATTTTCTGGTAGGCACTGAGGTAATAAGCTGACCCCAGACAAGTGTGCCGATTCCAAAAAATACACACCAGAGCCACTGATCTAGTGACAAAGCCTTGGTCGAGAAAGCCATTTTTCCATATTGGATTATTAACACCTTAAAATATTTATAATAGATAGTTAGATATATTGAACATTTTTTCAATGTTGCATACCTGTGATATCATAGTGAAAATCCATATGGTGTAGAATATGGGATTTGTAAGAAGTCCTTCAATAACGTTGCGTTGCCCATGAATTTTTCTAGCGTTTATTTCGTTAAACAATGTCATCATGACAAATGTATTAAAAATAATAGTAAAGTGCTGGGTTGGGCCAGCATTCAGTTCCTGTCCACGTCCAGACTCAATGTCCAGTATTAAGTCACCTAAAACGCATTCAAATATATAACAAAAAAACAAAAATGTTTAATATAACTTACCGACAAAGAGCAGTCCAAATATTATTACCAACTGATAAAGGGCCTGACCCAGTATGTTCTTCATCATTGTGCGGGATATTAAAGGTTTTGTGCGGCCATAGGGTTTACGGAGCAATAGATCTGGAGTCGGAAACTCTGTTGCTAAGGCAAGCGATGCCAATGTATCCATTATTAGATTGACCCACAACATCTGTACTGCCTATAGAATGTTGTTTTTAGAATTGTATACAATTTCTCTATTTGACCACTTACTTTAAGAGGAGAATCTTGTACAGCACACGCACCAATAAATGCAACAATAACAGCGACTACATTGACCGTTAACTGAAACTGTAAAAACTTTGCTATGGAGTCATATACGTTTCGACCCCACATTACAGCTTTTACAATGCTGCTAAAATTATCGTCAGTTAATATAATATCAGAAGCTTCTTTAGCAACGTCTGTGCCGGCAATTCCCATAGCAAAGCCTACATCTGCTTTTTTCAAAGCTGGGCCGTCATTTGTTCCGTCGCCAGTTACAGCAACCACTTCACGGTTTTCACTAACAGTGCTGTCAATAATACCTTCAAATATATTAAAGTAAAAGAACAATTACAACAGGTTAACAATTTGTCGTGTAGCAGTTTAACAGCCAGTTTTGTAGATTTATTGACATTAACAGAACTAGACGCAACGGACTTTCCATCCAAGTTATTAACCTCAGCAGTGCGTATGAGTTATTGGTATATTCGATTGGTATACCTTAAATTCTTCAATGCACAACTTATAGGCAGATGAGAGTAGGACCTTTAAAATTTCCATACAAATGTGGACCGCTCTAATGTACACGTTATAACAACTATTTTCGGAGCCTAAAAGCTAAAAGCCCTAATCAAAAAATTTAAAAAGTATTTAACCAACTTAAAAAAACAGCTGACGGAACATTTTATAAGCAACTTTGTTTTTACAAAACTGTTAAAACACACTAAACTTTTGGTTCCAGTTTTGGAAACCAGACTGGAAGAAGTCACAACAGTTTAAGTGGCGGGCTCTTTGAGTCAGAGTTTTATACACTTTACAAAAAAAGGAAAGAAAACAAACCTTTAACCAACGTATACTTGTCGGTTGGGGATGATCGTGCTAAAACTCGCAGTTTCGGCCATACTTTATCAATAAGATGTTGTTGTATCTGTTAATAAAAATAAAGGTTTAAGAATGTAATACACTAATTAATAATGCTTACATCCCCATTGCTATCCCGAATACGTCTATTAAACTCTTTGCCTTCCAGAATAAGAAAGTCGTCATTTGGCCGCAAAATACCACATTTGCTGGCAATTGATCGTGCTGTATTGATGTTGTCTCCAGTTACCATGCGAACAGTTATACCAGCGCGTTGACATTTTCGAATGGCGTCCGGTACTTCGGGACGAACTGGATCTTCTATACCAACCACACAGAGGCATGTAAGATTCGTCATAATATTTTCCTCGTCGTCCCAGTTGGGCTCGCCATCAATATGCACTTCATTAATTGCAGCTTTGCCAGGCACAAAGTCGCGATACGCCACAGATATCGTGCGCAGACCGTCACAAGCCATTGGTTCAATAACTTCGCGTATTAAACGCTCCTGCATATCCCTTGTAAACTTTTCTAGGGTACCCTCATGGCCGTAGATAAAAGCACACCTGCAATTATTATGAACAATTAAAAAATTCGTGTTATTCAGTAAAGATTCGAACTTTTTCATGATGATTTCTGAAGCTCCTTTGGTATACAATCGGTATCCTCCATTAGGTCGTGGAATCACAGTGCCCATACTCTTCCGAACGGAGTTAAAAGTATATACGCGTGTAAATTTGTCCTCTGTAATTTCGTCTCGAATAGATTGGTATTTTACACCTAAGCCTTGGACAAAGCCCAAAAGAGCACACTCTGTTTTGTTGCCAACTTGGATTGGTAAATCTCCTGGGTTGTGCCCACCCTTTTTGTTAAAAACAATTAAAATAAATTATTACTAATTGGGCTTAAAACAACAACTACAAAATTACCATTATATTTGAGGTATAAGCTGAGTTAACAGATATTCCCATTGTAATTAAATTGCCTACATGCTGTGGTATATCGCTAAGCGTTGGCAAAACCTTGCACAATTTTTCACAGATGTAAGATTGTACAACAGTCATACGATTGGTCGTAAGAGTTCCGGTTTTATCAGAGCAAATCGCAGTGGCATTACCCATTGTTTCACAGGCATCCAAATGCCGAACCAAATTATTGTCCTTCATCATTTTCTTGACCGAGTATGCTAAAGATAGGGTAACGGCCAGAGGAAGTCCCTCTGGTACAGCCACTACTAATACTGTAACTCCAATTATCAAATGCTTAACCAAGTTATTGGCATAAGTGTTCTTCCAGGGCTTTTCGTCAATAACGAATGTCTTAATACAAAACTGAATAATCAGAATTATGACTGTAAGTACGGCAATGGTCGATCCAGCATATCCAATCTGTATAGCTAATTTTGTCAGCTTTGCTTGCAGCACAGATTTTTCCTTCTTATGTCCTGTCTCAGCAGCTGCGGATGACGAAGAGGATTGCGGCACATGATTTCCTTCAGATTCAGATTTGGTTCCTTCGCTTGTGACTGTTTGGCGTTGAGTTGGCGCTTGGTTCCCCTTTATTTGCGCACGACCGTCGCTTTCACCTGAATCGAGCGACAAGTTTTTTAATAACATTCAAACTTTAAATTAAGCTACAATTGGCTTATAAAGCTACGCAATGAAAAAAACGTACAGTATCAAATAAAAAGTTTACATTTTTATAACCTTTGAATACTCTTGCAGAGGGTATTAAAGAGTTGGTCATAAGTTTGTAACGCAGTTAGGAGACGTATCTGAACCCTTAAAATAAATATATTCTTTACCAGGATCACTAGACGAGTCGATATAGACATGTCCGTCTGTTTTATTACTGCTTGCGAGGTCGGTTTAAGAGCTAGCGATTTAAATCTTTCGCAAATCCAGTTTAAAAGCCGCCTTGTTTGTATGTCAATATCCTAGTGCTCCCTGTTTTCATGCAAAACTAAGCTAATCTTAAAGATATTTTACGAAGTAAAATCTATGGACATGAAAATATGCAGATTGGACACCTAAAACAGGGTGAAAACGCTTGCCAATCGGAGCCTATGGATCCCAAAAAAATTGAGCAGCTTTAGATAGCGATTTGAAACTTTTCAAATTGAGTTTTTATACCCGTTACTCGCAGAGTAAAAGGGTATAGTAAATTCGTCGGAAAGTATGTAACAGGCAGAAGGAAGCGTTTTCGACCTCATAAAGTATATATATTCTTGATCAGGATCACTAGCCGAGTCGATGTAGCCATGCCCGTCTGTCCGTCCGTTTCTACGCAAAGTAGTCTCTCAGTTTTAAAGCTGAAACCCAAAAGTCTACTTTGTTTTCCAGGTAGTATATAAGTCAGAACCAGCCGGATCGGACAACTATATCTTATAGCTCCCATAAATTGGTGGGGAAATAATATGAAAGAAATTATAGCTTCGGTGTTTTCTAATTGTTTGTTTGTTTTAATTAGTTCTGAATTTTGAATTAAATTTTTTTAAGGCCCATTGACAACAAGTTTTCAATTTTTAAATTCAAATTTAACCTAACAACTTATAAAGTTACTTTTTTAAATAATAAATCTGTGGTAAAAAACTCCAAGTACTACGTTTTTTTGGCTCCTCACCAAAAAATGTTTTAAAAGCTATATAAAAATGTCCGTTTGGTATTTTAAAACATTAAATTCAATACGGTAAGTTTTCGACATGTTTAAGCCTATTTCACGATAGGTGTAATTTTTATACCCGTTACTCGTAGAGTAAAAGGGTATACTAGATTCGTCGGAAAGTATGTAACAGGCAGAAGGAAGCGTTTCCGACCCCATAAAGTATATATATTCTTGATCAGGATCACTAGCCGAGTCGATCTAGCCATGTCCGTCTGTCCGTCAGACCGTCTGTCCGTCTGTCTGTCCGAATGAACGCTGAGATCTCGGAAACTATAAGAGCTAGGCTATTGAGATTTGGCGTGCAGATTCCTGAGCTTCTTACGCAGCGCAAGTTTGTTTCAGCAGAGTGCCACGCCCACTCTAACACCCACAAACCGCCCAAAACTGTGGCTCCTACAGTCTTGATGCTAGAATAAAAATTTTAGCTAAAATGTTTTGTTTCAAAAATACCTATCGATTGAACGAAAAAAAAAAAGTTTGCCACGCCCACTTTAACTCCCACAAACCGCCCAAACCTGTGACGCCCACAATTTTCATGCTAGATAAAAAATTTTATCTGAAAGGTATTGGTCTCGTTAATACCTATCGATTGATCCAAAAAAAATTTGCCCACTCTAACGCCCATAACTCTTAAACCTGTCTACCGCCGGTAGGTGGCGCATTTTAATAATCAATTATACCTCAATAATATTACAAAAATTACATATAACTTCTTTTATATGAATTCAAAAGCACCACTTTTTTATCGTAGCGAGAGGAATAAATACATTTTATACATTTTATTCAAAGGTGAAGTTGCGACGTCAATTGGTTTTAACCTCGTTAAGATCTGTTTTGTTTGATATATCAAAAGCTAATGAATCTAAGCTAATGAAGGGCTACATAATTTCGAATTCCAAATAAATAATGGTAATTTTGTTAACAAATTGGGTTTGCGTCGTTTTTTGTGTAAGCAGTAGTAAGCATGAAATGTTTTTCATACTGAACTGAAACGCGATGCATTGCTTAGTAAAAAGGTGAAGATTCTCAAGGGCTATATAGTTCCAAATTCAAAGTTAAATCATTAGGGCCGTTTTTAAGAAAAGAGCCAAAAAGTGAAACAAAATTTTGTATCTTTACATTTGAATCTATTGTATTTATGCAACTTCGACAAAAGCAGCAAGATTATTTTAACAATTTTCCGCCACTTTTTTTTGATAACTTTTGAACGGAGCATCGGATTTTAACAAATAAGGTACTATATCGTTTTCTCTTGTTTTTGAACATTAAATTTAAAAATACCTTTTCTTGGACATATAGCTTGAGTCTGTAACTTTAGCAGCATAGAAGTAACGCCCTTTTGACTTTTAGATATTTATAGATGTTTTACTGCTAAACTATCAGGATTTTCCAAAAGTCGTAGAACTAAAGTTTCTTATATAAAGCTGTTGAAAACAGAAAAAAGCTCTTAAAAACTTTTGTTTTTTTTTTGGTTTTGGTTCAAACTATGGTAGTTAAAGAACTTACGTTATGGAGGATTGAATAGTATTTGAAAATACCTCTTCAATATATAGCACAAGTCTGTAGCTTTACACTAGTTACGGTACGAAATGTGGCTATTTATTGCTGTTTTCCCGATAACCTAGCCGCTTTTCCCAGGAGCGGTAGAACTGAAGTTCCTTATATTGAGCTGTTTAACAACGTATAAATGTTTTCAGGGCCCTAAAAACATGTTTTCGGTCAAACTGACAAACCAAATAAAATTTTTATTTTAAAGCCTTGTTTTGCGTACTTTTGAAAGTATTTTAGCAATTGAGGTGTCGTTTGACGCGTATTTTAAGTAAGAATTCAACCAACTGCCCTAACAGATTATATATTTATCATTTTTTCCTTCACAATTTTACTGCTCTCCCTCCCAAGCAACTAAAAGTTCTTAAGTCCTTCCTCTGACATTACTTATCGATTGGTACATCACTCGTTAACCTTACACTTCCTTTCTAAAAGTCGACTGAAACTGACACATTTTTTTAATTTTCTTTATATCTAATAGCTTGTTGATTTTAAACAATATGAATTGATATTAGCATTCTTATAGGGAGAGCAAAAGGCCACTTCTGGTAAAGATTATAGCACGAAGGATCGATATAGTGAACTGTCTTGACTTTTAGATACCCCTTCTTCTGTTAGGCAATTCTATAGTAAATATAGGTACCTGAAGACGGCGCCGATACTGACAGTGACATTCATGACAGAATGTTTAGGTCGGCGTTGCAATATTATTTAAGGGTAAGTCTCAACTTTTTCAGATACACGGATTTGGCTATATCGACTCTTCTACTGGTAGTACTAAAAAATACATAGAAAAATATGGAATTTCTTCTTCTTGTTTACTTTATAAATGTTTGACTTGAGGAATAAAAACTATTGGTTCTAAATCAGGGATGGCCAGCAGACGCGCAGAACACAATGATATATTGGACTGTGTGTGTGAGAGTGATTTGGTCAGCGAAACATGTTGAAGTGTGATGGTCGCCCGCTGTTCCTCAATGTGCTTGACGCTATGTTCAAAGCAGCAGCAGAGTCTTTGCCTTACCCTCGGTCCGAGTGCACTGCCTCTGCTGGCCATCACTGCACTAAATTTATTTAAAATTGAACTTTAATTTAAAATTGTTTAGACTGTCAGTATCAATTTAAGAAAACACCATGTTTGAGTAGGTTCATAAATATACACGCTCATATAAATATTCGCTTTAAAAATATGTATATTACAAAAATAATAATTATCAATATGACGCAAGAATTCACCTGTCAGACTCTTTTGCTTGATGGCCCTTTTAGCTTCTGAATTTCAACAATGATATTCAATCATTTTAAATTTCCGTTTCATTTACATTTTGGATTAATTTTGTAGATTGGTTGGTTTGTTTGTGGTAGGTGTTGGTCGCAGGTTATATTTGGTAGGTTGGTTGACAAATTGGGTAGATGAAGGATGATGGGTCAATCAATTCACATCATGCAATTCACATATGACATTTGGAATATGAAAAAAAACGCAACAAAAAAAGAAAATAAATAAGAAAATAAATATATAATATACGCATATATAAGAATTAAAATGTTCCAGACCATCGCCGGTAGGCTCTTCATGTATTATATTCGTTATGAAAACGATTGGATTGTGTTTAAATATAAAATTAAAGTACTTTGGCTTTGCTCGTACTTACCCTTTTTCATCTTTTTAATTTCTGCTTCTTGCTCATCAACTGCCGCGCCAAGAAGCGTAAAAATGATGCCTGCTTGTGAATTAACCCCTACGGCAGTTACAACCATTTTACCGCTTCCTTCCATAACATGCGTGCCTGATAGAACCATGGGATCAACATCTGCTCCCTTCTTGACATGATCTGATTCCCCAGTTAACGATGATTCATCCACCTGCAGAGCAAGCAATAACATTCAAAGGTGAAATAAATATTTTGCAAAAAACGTTGTTAAATAAAAATATATTTTGAATGCTCATATTCATTTCCATAAAAAATATTCTATTTATATTAAAGCATTCGGCTATTTAGTTTAGTTAAAACATACCTTTAAGTCGTTACTTTGAATGAGACACCCATCTGCCGGCAACAAGTCTCCATATTTGACCTGAGCAATATCTCCAACCAGAATATCTCCAACTGAAATTTGGCACACCTCCCCTCCTCGGATAACTGAAAACTTATGCTCGCCCTCAATACGATTCTGCAGGCCTCGGAATTGTCTTTCTTTTGAGTAATCATTGAAAGCTGTTACTATAACTACTACAATAACAGAAATAAGAATGGCCAATCCTTCAATCCAACCGTGGTGTTCCTCTTCCTCCTGTAGCACAGCTGTTATATAAAATATAGTCTTGTAATACTACACTTATTTGCAAGTCATTTGATTAATTAAAAATAAGGAACTTACGCGCATCCTCGTCGGCGGGTTTATAAAATGATAGACCGAGCGATACTAATGCAGCTACCTCTAAAATAATAAGGGTTACATCTTGAAGAGCCTCCCAGACTAGTGTCAAGAAGGTTTTTGGTGGCTTTGGTGGTATTACGTTTGAACCGAAGGTTTCCCGCCTATGCTCTTCGTCAGCTTTTGATCCACTTAACCCTAAAATTAAATTAAGTACGTTTTACAAATGTCTATAATATATGGAGCATAACTTGCCTTCATTGGGAGATGTGTATAACTTTTTACATAATTCATGAATACCACCAAATTCCGCAATCTTATTTACACCTTCAGGACCACGATGCTCCATGAGCTCGCGTAGTTGTTTAAGTGAAATACCATATTGCGCCGGTCTTCCATCTATAGTGGCCATTTGTTATGGTCGAATCTGTAAGTAAAAATGAAATCAATACCTAGTTCTTGTAAGAAAAAAGTCCTCCGAAACGTGAAGAGAAAATTAGTTTTTCTGGTGTTAAGGTATTATATAAGTTGTTGAGTTTCGCGCTTTCTTTGGCTCGTCCAAACTTGTAAAGGCTTTAAAAAACTTGCTTGATGTTTGACTAACTGACTAGATTTATTTTTAAAAGTCATGGCAACCTAATAAGCCCTGCGTGGGTCCTTTTCCTTACAAAAACAAATTTCCTTACATCTAGAAATTTTTTCCGGAAAATTAAAACGCATCGGGAATTCTTGTGGCCCAAATGGTCAAGTTATCCGTGCAATTATTTTGTCTCAGCGAATTTCAGAGGTGCAGATGGGATGATATATAATGCTATGCCTTGGTATATAATTATTTCTCGAGTTACGCTTAACCAATTTTGGTCACAGAAAAGCAACGGTAGTGTTAAGACATGAGTTCTACAAACCACAAATTCTTCAGCTAGTTCCAAATGCCAATTCCCCAGCTGGCATCGTTTCGTGAAATTTTTTATAAAACAAGAAGAGAAGCTATCTTCGTTCAGACGAAGTTGATATACCCTTGCACCATACAATTTAAATCATAAGTATATTCATAAGATATTCATATTCGGTATATTCGGAAGATTGGTATATAAAGATAATACAGATATACCTATAATATAGGGTCGCCCCATTCATTCGGAAATCGCAAAGAAAACTGTACTCCAGAATAGAAGAGAACATGATCTAAAACAACGCTGTTAAATTTTTTCACTTTTTTCCGATTATTTTTATGGGAGCTATAGGATAAGTTGTTCGATCCGGCTCGTTGCGACTTATAAACTTCCAGCAATAAAATGATCACTTTCGGAAAATTTTTAAACATAGCTTTTAAACTTGGAAGCCTAGTTTTGCGTAGAAACTGACAGACAGACGGACATGGCTAAATGGACTCGTCCAGTTATGCTAATCAAGAATATATGCACTTTACGTGGTCGGAAACGCCTCAGCTACGTAATTTTTGACTGAAATCATAATTTCCTTTGCAAGGGTATAAGAACAATAAGCATACTTTTTAACTGTGACATTTTAACTGTGATATTTATTTATTTATTCATTTACTTGTCTTGCGTAGCCCCAAACCGTGAAATGGCGGGAGTGACGCTTTATGGACTCGATCAAGATAAGGAAATGACTGCATGAACCGTCGTAAATACATATCTATCTGAAAGTGGCTTCAGTCAAGTACGAAAGCAATGTAGAAAAGAACATACGTATTTCTTGGCAAACTGATAAGTTTAATCTGATAAAACATAATGACGTCAAAATACACAATACCAGTAAAATCCAAATCTAACCGAAATATTGGAAAACCGTGACACGAAAATATAACTTTTTTTTGTGATTTTATTTTGTTAGTAACGGCAATAAACGTTTCTTTCAATTATTATTCTTTTATTAGTGTTTACCTAGAAAGCAATGAATATCTTACTTATATTTAGTAAGTATAGTATAAGTATTAACACATATGTTTGTAGTTTAGACAGTAATCAAATCAATAAATAAACATAAAAACAAGATGCTAGCTTCGGCAAGCCGAAGACTCTATACCCTTGCAAGTCGTCCCCAATCGTTCCTATAGCAGCTATATGATTACGTCGACCGATTTTTTTAAATTTTATTAGAAGTTTTGAAATTTGAAAAGAATGGTATGGTAAAGAATAGAATGGTAGAAATTAATATGGCAAAAAAAAATCGGCCAGCTGAATAACTGATTAAGAGCAGATGGAAAATCCGTGCAGTTCTTTCAGAAATTAGTCTTGGAACTGGTTTGGGAAGTAGAATCCGTGAATTGCGAATTGGAATTGAGAACTTGTACAGGGGTACAGGACCGTATTAATATACACAGCAGTGTTCTTAAGCACATTTGCAAGGTGCAGGCCCTAAATAAGAGCTTCTTATCTTTTAATGCTTTTAATCAGATATTAACATGAATGGATACTTTAAAATAATTGAATACATGGTTGGAAACTTTTTGGCAAGTCAACTTGGAAATTTTTTCAGGAAAACTAAAGGATTTTAATTTTTAAAAATTTTGTTTAGAAGTTGATAAAACCTGACTCCAGGAAAGCCTGAATTTTATTATATTAAAAAATACCTAAAGTTAAAAAAACTTCCCAGAGAAGTTTTTATTACGATGAAAAATATGATCTATGTTTGGATATGACCAGTCACGCCGTTTAAAAGTTTCGATAAACACGTACTTTATAAACGTGGTTTCGAGAAAAACTTCACTGATTTGCGACACTTTAGGGGAAAATACCTGAAAAATAAAACTTGAAAAGCCCATATTAGAGTATTAGTCCGATCGACTTGAAATTTTGGTAGTGTATGTATAAATATATATATTGCGATAAAAAAAAATAAACGAAAGAAAAATAACACTTTCGGGAAAGCCCCATCCCGATAGTTTAAAACTGGGAGACCAACAGACGGATGCCGATTAACAATATACATATATAACTTCCTATAGGGCCGGAAACGCCTTTTCACTACAAATTTCTGAGAGAAGTCATAATACCCTCTGCAAGGATATATCGTTTTTAATATTGAATATAATTCAAGCGTGTTACAAAAATCCTTTTTTCGAGAGAGCATAAATAAAGTTTGAAATTAAACCGTAACTATCCTTTTTATTATTTAACTGGAAGTCAAATTTCGAAGCTAAAGAGCACCACTAGTTTCATGAGCACAGCTATGAAAGTTCTAAACGTTTATCAGAGTGATGAGGTATGAACATCTTCCATAAATAGATATACACGCATTTATACGTCTTGAAGAACATCTACTGGTGCATAATTTTGCATGTATTTGAGTTTGATTCGGCCAAAGGGAAGATCATATTTGGACCATCAGCACAAATTCTTGCGAACATTACATGCGAGGTCCACCATTCTTTCTTCTACATGCATATTTAGAGTGTATATGCATACATATGTATGAAGGTACACAGTTTTTCTAGTATACACTATACCACGCCTTGTAAAAAAAACTATCTCATACTATTGAGTTATAGTTAAGCCGTTTTCTTTTTTAAATCCGAACGCGATATAATAGGACCGATATTAGTATATGCATTTTCATAGCAGAGCCTTGTTCAAAAGAATCAGGCACCAAGTCATTTATATCAACGCTCCACAACCAGGAATCTTACGTCATACGTCACGACACGAGCTACATACATATTTGCACTTGTATTGGCCACATTGGCAATGGAATAAGATATACATACGTCTGTATGGGAAACGGAACCTTCAAGCAAGAACACATTATTCTTATACACACTAATATATTGATTCTGGCTACCTTCGATGATATCAGTCAATCTTTAGATTTTTAAACAGACGAATTGAGTAGGTGTGTATGATTGGATATGCATGATATCACGCCTGTGTTCTGATTTGATCATATTAAATGTTATTATCAATGATATTTAACTTATAACTTTTCTATTGACATACATACACAATTAGTAATTTCTTTAATTGTACACGACTCAAGTAAAAGCGCCGCGAAATGTAGCTAAATAATTAATCTAAATTTCAGACACTCCACTCCGCCTTATTTTTCAGCAATATTTATACTCGACAGATGCAAGTATCGATACATCAAAACGATTCACTATCGGAATTATTTTTGGTTCACTGCAAACACAGTAATCGATATATTCGCAGAGCGCACTAGCAAAGCAAAACATAAATGCTTGGTTTCAAAGTCCCATCGACAATTAATTAATATTCTTCACCTTGATTTTTTTGTGGAACTGACTGATCGCTTCAATCTTTGAACAAAACTGACTGCTGCATCAAATGGAGGACAGCGCTATTTGTAGATGTGAGCGGGCCTAAAAAGTTTCTGACTGTCTGCTATCTGCAGCCCAGCTGTTTGTTCTTGATTATCGCAGATATCAAACTTAGCATTTGTTTGATTTTGTTACGTTAGCACTGCGGCGTCTACCAGTGCGATAAGCAGCATAAACACATTCATACACTCGCGGAGAATATTTGGAAATATTTTGACTGTTTACAAAGTTAAAAATTGTTCCACACGCAAAAATGAATTTTTAATTTATTTACTTATTTTTGTTTTAACAAATTAAAGCTAGTATATATTACTAAAATTAATATTTGAAAAAGAAGGGGTGCTGGAAGCTAAAGTCCTTCGGCCCATTTTCATTTATTAATAATGTTAATCTGGAGAAAAAGTTACGAAGTTCTAGAACGAAGATTACTTTAATACCGCCCTTGGACAAACAATTGTTTGGTTCAATAAATTTAAAGCAAGCAAATTTAATTATTTATTCAAGTTTTATAATTGTACTTAGTATTTTGTGACGTAGTTCTTAACAAATATATTTTCTAAGGATGTCCTTAGATATTTAGCTAAATAGTGCTTCAATTAATTTTAAATTTTTTGTAGTTTTTATATTTTGATATTCTTTTGGTGGTTAACACAGTATCAATCTGTTGGATTGCTCAGCTTATTATTGACGTTTAGCAGTATAGCAGAGTTTTAGGCACAATAATCAATTCCAAAAAACGACACCGAGTTAAATTGGATAAATTAAAGTGACGGCGCACCTGTAGCGGCTTGTTGCATTCAATTGTGTCGGGATGCTTCACTAAATATTTACATATACCGGGGTGCCACAGAAATCGCGAGGCCCCATTCAGCGTGAGTATCTTATCTGCATCATTATAAATTTTACACGATGTAAGCCTAATACTCAGATTGGCTCATACCCTGTTCACACAGAGAGGTTTTCCGCTTTAGCGACTAAATTCGGTTTCATCGACTATTTCTTCCAGAAAGTCTAGTACTCACTTCGACGAAAACCGCGAGCTAGCTATAGGAGTGAGCGGGAGACAAATACGCAGCTAGCGCTTTTCGTCGGGTGTGTTTTTCACCGCGCTACTCTGATGAGCTAAGGAAATACCAAAAAATACTAGATTTCGTCAGTGAATTACGACGAACATCGTTCTCTCTTCTTGCTAATACGCATTAGAAAAGCAAAACAGAAAAAACTTGACTTTGCTCATTCTGCCGGCTTTAAGGCCTGGTACACAGATCGGCTAATAGCTTCTCTAGTCGAAAAATCTTATTCTTTCTAGTGTTACCGAATTTTTAAAGTTCACCCACAACTCTTGTAGCATGGTCTTACTGTCAAGACGCTGGGTTTGTCGACAAACGAAAAACAAGAGAAACAATGGAAGAGTCTGCTGGTGCACACAGAAATTAAAATAAAACAAGGAAGAACGCTATAGTCGATTACCTCGACTATCAGATACCCGTTACTCAAAGGGAAATGGAGATATGCAAGCAGCAAAGCGAGATTAAAATGCGCCACCTACCGGCGGTAGACAGATTTAAGCGTTATGGGCGTTAGAGTGGGCGTGGCAAATTTATTTTTGGATCAATCGATAGGTATTGACGACACCAATACATTTCAGTTAAAATTTTTTATCTAGCATGAAAATTGTGGGCGTCACAGGTTTTCGCGGTTTGTGGGCGTTTAAGTGGGCGTGCCAAATTTTTTTTTGGTCAATCGATAGGTATTGATAAGAATAATACATTTCAGTTAAAATTTTCTATCTAGCATCAAAACTGTAGGAGTTACAGTTTTGGGTGGTTTGTGGGCGTTAGAGTGGGCGTGGCACTCTACTGAAACAAACTTGCGCTGCGTAAGAAGATCAGGAATCTGTACGCCAAATCTCAATAGCCTAGCTCTCATAGTTTCCGAGATCTCAGCGTTCATCCGGACAGACAGACGGACACACGGACAGACGGACATGGCTAGATCGACTCGGCTTGTGATCCTGATCAAAAATATATATATATACTTTATGGGGTCGGAAACTCTTCCTTCTGCCTGTTACATACTTTCCGACGAATCTAGTATACCCTTTTACTCTACGAGTAACGGGTATAATTAAATGGAATGTTCAACGAATGATTTTATTTATGTAAATTAGTAGTTGAAAGCTTCCTTCTCGCCCCAAGAATGCTTCGTCATCTTTTCCGCACCATCTGCAGTCCAGCTACGAATCCCAATAGGTATATTGAACCTTGAGAAATTGGGAGCCGGATTGGGAACGGTGTTGTTACGCTGATGCAGGATGTCGCTTAGCATCCTGGCAAGGGCTGGAAATGGCTCCTCCAGCTATCCCTTAGCGGTGCCCTCTTTTTCTGCTCCCTATAGAAGCCAGCACATAATTCAGCTCCGCTTTAATTGTCAAGTAACTGGTGGAGGTGGAGTACTGTGATTCCCCAATGGAAACCTTGTCGAAGATTCTTTTTCTTTTATTAGTACAACGTAGCAAAACTCTTTTGGCCATAACTTACTTTATTTGCTTGGACCCGTCCGGCAGGATGTCCATGTAGGGGGCAAAGTCCCACTAGGCATGTTCCTTCCCACTGGAATTCTTTAGTGGATCTCCTTCAGCAATTCAACTATTCTGCGGATTTTCCGTGTTGTGGTATTGCTTTCTGCCGTTGAAGTCCCTCAATAATGGGCCACAGCTGGGATTAGACGTCCTTTTTCATCTGCACTGACATCCTGCAGGCATTTTTGGTTTTTGGGGTTTTCCTTCCGTGCTACATGCATTGCTGGTGGACTTTGAAAACTTCGGTCACAGTACAAAGAACCAGATTTTTCGACTAGTGAAACTCAGCCGATCATAGTACTAGGCTTTACGTTTGATTACATTTACGTTTTGGTTGGATTCAAAATGAATCGCCTGATTGTGAAAATATATATAAAGTATCGATGATATATATTTAAAAAAAATATATCGAATTAAATTTTTTCACCGGAAAATTATTGGTGAATCGTATTTTTGACATATTTGAATTTAAATTCTTTTTTAAATTCAAACACCAAAAAACAAAATTTTTGTTGTTCAACATTACAAATGTTCCGCAGCAACATTGAATTTGTTTAGTTATATCTGATAAACTCTGATCCCGTGAAATTCGAAATCGGAAAGAAAACTAGGTTACAACAAGTGGCCATTAGTTAATACCGTGTTCATAAATTTTCTGGGGTGCTGTTGGCTCTTATAGAATTGGCACTTAAACTAAATGATTTCTTACTGGTTAGTACTGGTGATACTAAAATGTTACAGATTTGCCTTCGATTTTTAATGAAATAAAGTTACCACTCAGGTTTTTAGATGAAAAAATATCACGATATAAATATTTATTTTTATTCAAAATATATCGATGTATTGACATATTTTTCACATCCCTATTGGCCACCTCTAATTCGTGCGTGCGTGCGTATGGGTGTTCTGTTCGGCTTTTTATTGTGAATTTTGAACAGCGATTTGTGGTTACACACTTTATAATAAACATTTGGTATAGCAAAAGAATATATATTTGACATCAGAGACCTTTTCGATAGCAAAGTATTTTTAAAGGCATTGGGTGGTATGTCAAAGTTTGCGCATAAAATATGTGATCTAGTGCACTATAGTGAAGCGTCCATTTCCAGCATTGCCAGGTGAAACTAAATTGTGGAGTGTATAGAGTATTTCATGTGTTTAGTATTTTTCATTCTGCAGGAGTCGCAAATTAGTATACAGAACTGTATGGTATTTTTATACCCTTTCGCATGCTAACGTACGATCCCAGTAAATGTTTGTATGTATACACAACATATCAATAGATCAATTTAGCCGGGCACAAGAAACAGTTCCTTGGTTGACTTTAAATCTAGTCTTGCCAATGCTAGCTAAAATCTAACTAGAGAAATGATTACAATTTTTGAGAATAGGTGTTAGGCTAGGATTCTTAAAATTTATTGTATTGCTCTTAATGGTATCTCAATTTAAATTTTTGCAGTTTAATTTGGTTTCGTGGAAAGAATGCATCCTTAACTCGGTGCTGTCTACAATACAAATTTTATTTATATTGTTGATGCAATTACATTTCTGACCATAACATGGAATGTTCCGAATTCGTGGGCCCAGCTATTTCTCTGGGCGGACGAGTATCTACATCTGATGATCTGAAAACAGAACATCTCCTTCAAGCCGAGGATCATAACTGTGCTACTCGAATTTCCATGGATTTGGAGGACAATGTTGACCACCACGTGGCCAATAACTTGTCTGGATTTCGCTGGAAGCGGGTTCTTAACCCAACAGGACCACAGCCTCGACCTAGACATGGACACCGCGCGATAAATATAAAAGAGCTTATGGTCGTATTTGGCGGCGGGAACGAAGGAATTGTTGACGAGTTGCACGTATATAACACTGGTAATTAAGTTGCGACATATGATCACCTTTTAAAGATTTCAAACAATTACGTATGTAACTTTGGCTATACAAAATAGCATTTAATCCACCTTCGTTTCTGGACAAAATCAGGGGTGTCACAGAAATCACTTTATAAGAATCTTACGGTGAATAGGCGCTCTGCGATTTCTGTGGCATCCGGAATTTTTTTTACTTTAGGACGTACAGCTGTGATTATGGATATATCCTTTTCCGATTAAAGCCAATTTGCATTAGTTCGATAAATTTGACTATACAGTGTATAATAAGGCGAAATTCCCTTTCAATGTTCGATTTAATATCATATGCTTATTTTTGTAAAATATGTCAAATTTCGACCGATAATTAAAATAGTAGTAGACAAAAGTTATTGTCAACAATTTTTTAAACTTAGATTTTTTTGTTAAATGTAGGTATGTGAGTTAAATTTAAAGCAAAACAGATGTTTTCACTAATACCTAAATGAAAATAATATCTATATCTTTGCTTGTAAAAAAACTGATTTGCTGGAAGCATATGTACATCCCTCTCGCATTCCTTTTAGGTGTTAATAATTTTATAAGTTATTAACTACTATTTTAATGAGCCATCGAAATTTGACATAATTATTAAAAATCACCTTAATATAATATTTAACCGAATATTGAATAGGATTTTTCATATATTCTACTTTAAATATTTTATCTAACCAAAAATGCAAAATTATTTCAATCGGAAAAAGAAGATAACCACAGTATAACTTTTAAGGGGAACGTAACATACACTACTATTTTCATGACCGCAACTGTGTAGCCGTTTTTAAGATTTCAGAAACAAATTAGTTTTAGTAATATATGTTTATGTAATATATATGTGTGCCGCAGAAATTTATTCAGGGAAAAGTCTTCTTAAATTTTGATGCACATATAAAACTTAGGCTGAATGGGCGCTCTGCGATTTCATTGTATGGTATGGTTTTAGCTACAAGATTATATAAACTCGGCTTGCGGAAGTAAGCTTCGTTTCCTGTTTTACATTTAATTTGATTTAGTTGAAGACCTAATTCGACCAATTGAATTAAAAAAATCAAAAATTTTTGTTTTTAAATTGCCATATCAGATTTGGCGGTTTGAAAAACTCCTAAGATTCTAATTAAGCGCAAAATTGTTATGGCGTGGCACAGCCACTTCGACCTGCGAAATAAAATTATTTTAATTGTTTGGTAAGTATATGATTGTCGATACTCGACTATAGCTATCTGGTTTTTACTCGTGCTACGTGAATTAATAAGATTTTTGTCTCGGCGTAGAGCAAAAAGGTGCGTTTCGTGCTTACTCTAAGATAACATTTCTTTCACACGAAGCACTTTGGTTTTTGGTAATGTAACCTCTTTTAAAAATGCAGCTTTTGAAGAAATAAAAAAATTTAAAAACGATAGTGTGAATTTTGATAGTAGCGTATTCTCCTGTTTCATTTACCTGTAGTTACAAATCAATGGTACGTACCTGTGCTAAAAGGAGATGTACCGAACGGATGCGCTGCTTATGGATTTGTTGTGGAGGGTACTCGCATGTTTGTCTTCGGTGGAATGATTGAGTACGGAAAATATTCAAATGAGCTCTATGAGCTACAGGCCACTAAATGGGAATGGAGGAAAATGTATCCAGAGTCACCGGATAGTGGGTTGTCACCATGTCCTCGATTGGGGCACAGTTTTACAATGGTTGGTGAAAAAATATTTTTGTTTGGAGGACTAGCAAATGAATCGGACGATCCAAAAAATAATATTCCAAAGTACGTTATTACATGCTTATGCATAAATAATACGGTCTATTAACAAATTTTACTATACTACAGATACTTGAACGATTTGTACATATTGGACACTCGAGGAGTTCACAGTCATAACGGCAAGTGGATAGTACCTAAAACATATGGCGACAGTCCTCCTCCGAGGGAATCGCACACAGGAATTTCGTTTGCCAGTAAAGGTTCTGGAAATTTAAATCTCTTAATTTATGGAGGAATGAGTGGATGCCGCTTGGGAGATTTGTGGTTGTTAGATACAGGTAACTTCAGTAGCTGTCTCTATTTTGCAACGTTTGTTTAATGTGTATCTACTCAAGACACTATGACATGGTCAAAACCAAGAACTTTGGGGCAGGCGCCCTTACCACGCTCATTACACAGTTCCACAATGATTGCAAACAAAATGTATGTGTTTGGTGGATGGGTTCCATTGGTAATAAATGATTCGAAGTCGACAACAGAGCGTGAATGGAAATGCACAAACACTCTTGCAGTTCTTGACTTGGGTAAGTACATTTTTTTAATAACAGGTATACCCTCAAACATGATTTTAATATATTGAACTAGCTTTCCCGCCGCAAATTTGTGTACGTTTAGGATCAATTTTTAACAATGGTCGGAAAGATTTAAATACTATATTATCCAAACCTTAAACATCTTTAAAAATGTCAAAATATTTTCTTAAACCCCTTTTCCATTTGTCCTTTTTCCCGATTGTCACCTTGTTCAACTGCTCGCGGGTGAATTTATTTTTTGTGTAAACAAATCGTTATTATTACGACTTAAATTACACTTGGCCCTCGCTTAGCACGGACTCTTTTAGCATGAACTCGGTCTTACACGGTTACAAATTTGCTCCCATCCCCCTTTTAACACGCTAAAAACCTCGTTCTTACACGATTGCAATTGAAAACAAGGAAGAACGCTATAGTCGAGTACCTCGACTATCAGATACCCTTTACTCAGCTAATGGGACCAAAGGGAAATGGAGATATGCAAGCAGCAAAACGAGATTAAAATGCGCCACCTACCGGCGGTAGACAGATTTAAGCGTTATGGGTGCGTCAAATTTTTTTTTGGCTCAATCGATAGCTATTGAGACCAATACATTTCAGGTAAAATTTTTTATCTAGCATAAAAATTGTGGGTGCCACAGGCTTGGGCGGTTTGTGGGCGTTAGAGTCGGCGTGGCACTCTGCTGAAATAAACTTGCGATGCGCAGGAATCTCAGGAATCTGCATGCCTAATCCCAGTATTGTACCTTGTATAGTTTCCGAGATCTCAGCGTTCATACGGACAGACGGACATGGCTAGATCGACTCGGCTAGTGATCCTGATCAAGAATTTATATACTTTATGGGGTCGGAAACGCTTCCTTCTGCCTGTTACGTACTTTCCGACGAATCTAGTATACCCGTTTACTCTACGAGTAACGGGTATAATGACTGATTTTATTGATAAGGAGCCACCAAAAAAGAAAACATGTTAAAAGAAACTGGCTTCAACTATTAATGCCACCAAATGAATTTCAAATTTGCTATGAATAGAAACATATGATCTCCTTACTTTTTAACATATTTAAGTTTCTATAAAGTTTAACCGGTTAATAAATTATTTGAAGAAACATTTTTAATTTAATACCAACTTTTAATTTGAAAGTTTGAATGTTATGCATTTATTAAAGGCATAAACATAATAACCTTTGGCTAATTTTAAACAAATGTATGAAACTTTAATAAAAACAGACCAAGTTTGAACAATAAAAATTTTTTTTTTCTATAATTTTGAATTTATAGAACGAAACCCCTTTTTTTGTACTGAATCCATGTTTCGCTTAACACGATTTCGCTTAATATGAGGATTTCTAGGAACGTAAGCCCCGTGTTAAGCGAGGGCCAAGTGTTATTATTAATGAATAAGACAGGTGTGGGGGAAAATACCTTACTTCGCATATTGACCGATCGCACAAGATTAGTGCCACGGTTTCTGATTTGCAACGATTCACACCTTTCCTGTGCTTTAGGTCG